TCTACACTGCTCCATAGACTACACAGGGACAGCATCAGTCTCTGTACTGTCCTCTACACTGCTCCATAGACTACACAGGGACAGCACAGTCTCTGTACTGTCCTCTACACTGCTCCATAGACTACACAGGGACAGCATCAGTCTCTGTACTGTCCTCTACACTGCTCCATAGACTACACAGGGACAGCATCAGTCTCTGTACTGTCCTCTACACTGCTCCATAGACTACACAGGGACAGCATCAGTCTCTGTACTGTCCTCTACACTGCTCCATAGACTACACAGGGACAGCATCAGTCTCTGTACTGTCCTCTACACTGCTCCATAGACTACACAGGGACAGCATCAGTCTCTGTACTGTCCTCTACACTGCTCCATAGACTACACAGGGACAGCATCAGTCTCTGTACTGTCCTCTACACTGCTCCATAGACTACACAGGGACAGCATCAGTCTCTGTACTGTCCTCTACACTGCTCCATAGACTACACAGGGACAGCATCAGTCTCTGTACTGTCCTCTACACTGCTCCATAGACTACACAGGGACAGCATCAGTCTCTGTACTGTCCTCTACCTGCTCCATAGACTACACAGGGACAGCATCAGTCTCTGTACTGTCCTCTACACTGCTCCATAGACTACACAGGGACAGCATCAGTCTCTGTACTGTCCTCTACACTGCTCCATAGACTACACAGGGACAGCATCAGTCTCTGTACTGTCCTCTACACTGCTCCATAGACTACACAGGGACAGCATCAGTCTCTGTACTGTCCTCTACACTGCTCCATAGACTACACAGGGACAGCATCAGTCTCTGTACTGTCCTCTACACTGCTCCATAGACTACACAGGGACAGCATCAGTCTCTGTACTGTCCTCTACACTGCTCCATAGACTACACAGGGACAGCATCAGTCTCTGTACTGTCCTCTACACTGCTCCACAGACTACACAGGGACAGCATCAGTCTCTGTACTGTCCTCTACACTGCTCCATAGACTACACAGGGACAGCATCAGTCTCTGTACTGTCCTCTACACTGCTCCATAGACTACACAGGGACAGCATCAGTCTCTGTACTGTCCTCTACACTGCTCCATAGACTACACAGGGACAGCATCAGTCTCTGTACTGTCCTCTACACTGCTCCATAGACTACACAGGGACAGCATCAGTCTCTGTACTGTCCTCTACACTGCTCCATAGACTACACAGGGACAGCATCAGTCTCTGTACTGTCCTCTACACTGCTCCATAGACTACACAGGGACAGCATCAGTCTCTGTACTGTCCTCTACACTGCTCCATAGACTACACAGGGACAGCATCAGTCTCTGTACTGTCCTCTACACTGCTCCATAGACTACACAGGGACAGCATCAGTCTCTGTACTGTCCTCTACACTGCTCCATAGACTACACAGGGACAGCATCAGTCTCTGTACTGTCCTCTACACTGCTCCATAGACTACACAGGGACAGCATCAGTCTCTGTACTGTCCTCTACACTGCTCCACAGACTACACAGGGACAGCATCAGTCTCTGTACTGTCCTCTACACTGCTCCATAGACTACACAGGGACAGCATCAGTCTCTGTACTGTCCTCTACACTGCTCCATAGACTACACAGGGACAGCATCAGTCTTTGTACTGTCCTCTACACTGCTCCATAGACTACACAGGGACAGCATCAGTCTCTGTACTGTCCTCTACACTGCTCCATAGACTACACAGGGACAGCATCAGTCTCTGTACTGTCCTCTACACTGCTCCATAGACTACACAGGGACAGCATCAGTCTCTGTACTGTCCTCTACACTGCTCCATAGACTACACAGGGACAGCATCAGTCCTCTGTACTGTCCTCTACACTGCTCCATAGACTACACAGGGACAGCATCAGTCTCTGTACTGTCCTCTACACTGCTCCACAGACTACACAGGGACAGCATCAGTCCTCTGTACTGTCCTCTACACTGCTCCACAGACTACACAGGGACAGCATCAGTCTCTGTACTGTCCTCTACACTGCTCCATAGACTACACAGGGACAGCATCAGTCTCTGTACTGTCCTCTACACTGCTCCATAGACTACACAGGGACAGCATCAGTCTCTGTACTGTCCTCTACACTGCTCCATAGACTACACAGGGACAGCATCAGTCTCTGTACTGTCCTCTACACTGCTCCATAGACTACACAGGGACAGCATCAGTCTCTGTACTGTCCTCTACACTGCTCCATAGACTACACAGGGACAGCATCAGTCTCTGTACTGTCCTCTACACTGCTCCATAGACTACACAGAGACAGCATCAGTCCTCTGTACTGTCCTCTACACTGCTCCATAGACTACACAGGGACAGCATCAGTCTCTGTACTGTCCTCTGCACTGCTCCACAGACTACACAGGGACAGCATCAGTCTCTGTACTGTCCTCTGCACTGCTCCACAGACACAGACTACACAGGGACAGCATCAGTCTCTGTACTGTCCTCTACACTGCTCCATAGACTACAGGGACAGCATCAGTCTCTGTACTGTCCTCTACACTGCTCCATAGACTACACAGGGACAGCATCAGTCTCTGTACTGTCCTCTACACTGCTCCATAGACTACACAGGGACAGCATCAGTCTCTGTACTGTCCTCTACACTGCTCCATAGACTACACAGGGACAGCATCAGTCTCTGTACTGTCCTCTACACTGTCTCCATAGACTACACAGGGACAGCATCAGTCTCTGTACTGTCCTCTACACTGCTCCATAGACTACACAGGGACAGCATCAGTCTCTGTACTGTCCTCTACACTGCTCCATAGACTACACAGGGACAGCATCAGTCTCTGTACTGTCCTCTACACTGCTCCATAGACTACACAGGGCACATCAGTCTTGTACTGTCCTCTACACTGCTCCATAGACTACACAGGGACAGCATCAGTCTCTGTACTGTCCTCTACACTGCTCCATAGACTACACAGGGACAGCATCAGTCTCTGTACTGTCCTCTACACTGCTCCATAGACTACACAGGGACAGCATCAGTCTCTGTACTGTCCTCTACACTGCTCCATAGACTACACAGGGACAGCATCAGTCTCTGTACTGTCCTCTACACTGCTCACAGACTACACAGGGACAGCATCAGTCTCTGTACTGTCCTCTACACTGCTCCACAGACTACACAGGGACAGCATCAGTCTCTGTACTGTCCTCTACACTGCTCCATAGACTACACAGGGACAGCATCAGTCTCTGTACTGTCCTCTACACTGCTCCATAGACTACACAGGGACAGCATCAGTCTCTGTACTGTCCTCTACACTGCTCCATAGACTACATCACGTCTGCTCCATAGACTACACAGGGACAGCATCAGTCTCTGTACTGTCCTCTACACTGCTCCATAGACTACACAGGGACAGCATCAGTCTCTGTCTGTACTGCTCCTTACACTGCTCCATAGAGACTACACAGGGACAGCATCAGTCTCTGTACTGTCCTCTACACTGCTCCATAGACTACACAGGGACAGCATCAGTCTCTGTACTGTCCTCTACACTGCTCCATAGACTACACAGGGACAGCATCAGTCCTCTGTACTGTCCTCTACACTGCTCCATAGACTACACAGGGACAGCATCAGTCCTCTGTACTGTCCTCTACACTGCTCCATAGACTACACAGGGACAGCATCAGTCTCTGTACTGTCCTCTGCACTGCTCCACAGACTACACAGGGACAGCATCAGTCTCTGTACTGTCCTCTGCACTGCTCCACAGACTACACAGGGACAGCATCAGTCTCTGTACTGTCCTCTACACTGCTCCATAGACTACACAGGGACAGCATCAGTCTCTGTACTGTCCTCTACACTGCTCCATAGACTACACAGGGACAGCATCAGTCTCTGTACTGTCCTCTACACTGCTCCATAGACTACACAGGGACAGCATCAGTCTCTGTACTGTCCTCTACACTGCTCCATAGACTACACAGGGACAGCATCAGTCTCTGTACTGTCCTCTACACTGCTCCATAGACTACACAGGGACAGCATCAGAAGGACCTGCACACGGCCTGTGTAGATACTCCAAAAAAATGTTACGCGCAGAGAGCGCGCAGTAAACGCGTACGCGCTGTTTACGCCTACTGTGTAAATTCCCTGTTAGCTAACATGAACCTGCATGTGCTAGCTAACGTAAACCTGCATGTGTTAGCTAACATGAGCCTGCATGTGTTAGCTAACATGTGTTAGCTAACATGAGCCTGCATGTGTTAGCTAACGTAAACCTGCATGTGTTAGCTAACGTAAACCTGCATGTGTTAGCTAACGTAAACCTGCATGTGTTAGCTAACGTGAACCTGCATGTGTTAGCTAACGTGAACCTGCGTGTGTTAGCCAACATGAACCTGCATGTGTTAGCCAACATGAACCTACATGTGTTAGCTAACATGTACCTACATGTGTTAGCTAACATGTACCTGCATGTGTTAGCTAACATGAACCTGCATGTGTTAGCTAACATGTACCTGCATGTGTTAGCTAACCTGTCCCTGCAGCAGACGCGCGTAACTTTTTTCCATGTTAACCTATGATGATATTTACATTTCTAGCGTTATACGAGCGTATGACGGACGTATGACGCGAAGCTGCGCTCTAATTTAGGATGGATTTCTAATTTTGTGCGCGCACCAACGCGTCTCCCATTGAGATCTCATGTGAAACATGATTTTTCTAGCGGCCCTTGGCTCTAGATCACATCTACACACACACACACACACACACACACACTCAGCACTTGTGTCTAAACATCAGCAGGAGGAGCAGCAGGTTTTACAGTGATTCTGGACATCGTTTTTTTTCTTTCATAGCCTCCCCAGGCTGTGCTGAAAATGTGTTGTTGCTGAACTGCCTATTACAAGACGCAAAAGCTGGAAAAAGATCCCTTGCAGTAGTTTTCATTGATCTCCGGAGAGCCTTCGACATGATTCCCCATTCCCTCATAATTGAGACCCTGAATCAGAGAGGACTCGACACATCCTTGGTTAAGCTGATTAGGAATGCATACTCTGGTGCCTTCACCAGGGTACGAGCCAAAGGCGGGCTATCCAAGCGCATTGTGGTCAAGAGAGGAGTCAAACAAGGAGACCCTCTCTCCCCCACTCTATTCAATCTATCCTTGGATCCGCTCCTCTATGCTCTGGACAAAGTCGGCCAGGGAATTTGTGTTACGGAAGAACACAAGGTCACAGCATTGGCGTATGCTGATGATCTGATATTACTGAGCGACTCCTGGGAAGGCATGGAGAGGAACCTTCAGATCCTGGATTCGTTCAGTACACAGACTGGGCTCGATGTAAATCCGGAAAAGTGCTCGGGTTTCTGGCTCTCCTTCGCAAAGAAAAAGCCAGTACTGAACTGTTGTCCCCGATGGTCACTAGGAGGCGAGAAAGTACAGATGCTGTCCGCCTCCGATACAGTCAAATACCTGGGAATGGAATTTTCCCCGCTTAGGGGCCTTCTGACCCCTGACCTCGTCCCAATGATCGAAGAGGCAATCATGAAGCTCGATAAGGCCTCACTCAGACCAAGCCAAAAACTCCTGGCTCTAAGAACCTACGTAATGCCAAAAGTGACATACCAAGCCAACCTTTCTGAACTCAGTGCCGGCCACCTCAAGAAGCTTGATGGCCTCGTACGTTCTATACTGAAGAAGTGGTTGGGTCTTCCCACCTTTACAACCAACGGCATCTTCTACAGTTCGTTCAAAGATGGTGGCCTCAACGTGGCGAGATTGGAAAAAGTTATACCGGCCATGCAGCTGAGGAGGGCTTCCAAGCTGCTGTGTTCCTCGGACCCACTGACCCACTCGGTTGCAGAGCTAATGAACATGGAGGCTAGGATCAAGAAATTGCAAAAAACAATCGGGGGTGAAATTGTCAATTGCAAAGCGGACAAGGTTGCCCCAAGACTCCTCGCTTCCAAGAGAATGAAACTGGAAGAACACAAGGCTTGGATTAAGCTAAAGTGGCAGGGCATGGGAGTGGAATGCTTCCAAGGCGACGCGGTCTCAAACTCCTGGCTGAGAGATCCCCTGACATCAAGACTCAGCGAATCGGATTTCATTATGGCCCTAAGGTTGAGGTCTTCCACGGTGCCTTGCATGGGGACTCCTTTGAACAGAGATGGACCCAAGTCCTGTCGCCTTTGTGGGAAAGGCGATGAGACGCTTATACACATTGTTAGCCTCTGCCCGGCCACCAAGAAACAAAGGATGTCAAACCACAATAACATTTGCGACATCCTAGCAACAAGGGCAAAGGAAAAAGGATGGGTGGTCTTCAGGGAACGGCACCTTAGATCACCAAAATATGGTTTGGCAGTCCCTGATATAATTGCCATCAAAGGAGAGTTGGCACTGATCATCGATGTCGCCATATCCTTTGAAACGTCCCTCTCGACGTTGTCTTCGATGGAAAAGAAGAAAAAGGCAAAGTACCTACCTTTCCGGAATGCCCTCATGGGCGAGGAAAAGAAAGTGAAGTCAGCTGATACCATGGGTTTCCCAATGGGGGCCAGGGGGAAATGGTATAAAGGGAATGAGACATCCCTGGAGCGACTCGGATTCACCCCCACGGAAACGAAAGGACTCGCCCGTTACCTCTACAAGGAACTGTCAATACTTGCAAACTGTTTAACCGTTTGATAAACATGTGAACTTGGTGTGTGACTCTTTTATTCGATACTGCCAATTGTTCTGGTTGTTTGTAAAGTTCATAATAAAGTTCTGCATTCTTAGGCCAAGAGGTGCAGTCGAAGTGGCTTTTCTCGTCTCGGACCCCTAAAAGACCTCTCCTTCCCAAAGAGGTAAGAAAGGTGTGAACTCACCTTGTGTATGGCGATACCCAGGAAATCAAAACAGGCATTGCCGGAAGGAAATGATACTAAAAAGGCCGGTTACTTTCCTGCGACTGTTGCTGCCGAAGACCAAAACCATTGGCTGTCTCGCAAGGACTCGTATATCACACTTTGGGCCGTTCACCTTTCAAATGCGCGAATGTCGTAGCCCGGTAAAACTATGGATGGCGTTAGGGGTGCCCCCTACACCCCAGTCCACGGTAGACTTTAAACTTCCCGAACTGAGCAGCGACAACCGGGAGATCTGTGTTCTACAGTGAGACCCGGTAACCATGAGACCCGACTATTCTCCGGAGATACGGTTCATGGCGCCATCCGTAGGAATCGTCAATGACCCGAACCCTGTCTCTCGATACTGCTCTCGGCTTACTGACGGAGTGGGTAAAAGGAGGCAGGGAAAGCGGGACATCCCCCACCCGCACCAAAGTGCCCCCGAGGATAAGGGGTACGGTCACGGTAATGGCGGGGGCTCAAAATGCTGTCTTTCACTAGCCAAATGCCTCGTCATCTAATTAGTGACGCGCATGAATGGATGAACAAGATTCCCACTGTCCCTATATACCCCCTTGCGAAACCACAGCCAAGGGAACGGGCTTGGCAGAATCAGCGGGGAAAGAAGACCCTGTTGAGCTTGACTTGAGTCTGGCGCTGTGAAGGGACATGAGAGGTGTAGAATACGTGGGAGGCCTCGGCCGCCGGGGAAATACCACTACTCTAATCGTTCTTTCACTTACCCGGTGAGGCGAGCTCCGAGCGGGCTCTCGCTTCAGGTGTTAAGCGCCCGAGCCCCGTTGGCCTTGACCCTTTCCGGGGACAGTGGCCGGTTGAGAGTTTGATTGGGGCGGTACACCTGTCAAACAGTAACGCAGGTGTCCTAAGGCAAGCTCAGGGAGGACAGAAACCTCCCGTGGAGCAGAAGGGCAAAAGCTCGCTTGATCTTGATTTTCAGTATGAATGCAGACAGTGGGGCCTCACAATCCTTCTGACTTTTTAGGTTTTAAGCAGGAGGTGTCAGAAACGTTACAGTGCCTTGCTAAAGTATTCGGCCCCCTTGAACCTTTCAACATTTCGCCACATTTCAAGCTTCAAACAAAGATATAAAAAATGTATTTTTTGTCATGAATCAACAACAAGTGGGACACAATCGTGAAGTGGAATGAAATGTATTGAATAATTTAAACTTTTTTAACAAATAAACTGAAAAGTGGGGCGTGCAATATTATTCGGCCCCTTTACTTTCAGTGCAGCAAACTCAGTCCAGAAGTTCAGTGAGGATCTTTGAATGATCCAATGTTGTCCTAAATGACTGATGATGATAAATACAATGCACCTGTGTTTAATCAAGTCTCCGTATAAATGCACCTGCTCTTTGATAGTGTCAGGGTTCTGTTTAAAGCGCAGAGAGAACCATGAAGACCAAGGAACACACCAGGCAGGTCCGAGATATTGTTGTGGAGAAGTTTAAAGCCGGATTTGGATACAAAAAGATTTCCCAAGCTTTAAACATCTCAAGGAGCACTGTGCAAGCAATTATATTGAAATGGAAGGAGTATCAGACCACTGCAAATCTACCAAGACCCGGCCGTCCCGCCAAACTTTCATCTCAAACAAGAAGAAGACTGATCAGAGATGCAGCCAAGAGGCCCATGATCACTCTGGATGAACTGCAGATAACTATAGCTCAGGTGGGAGAGTCTGTCCATAGGACAACAATCAGTCGTGCACTGCACAAATCTGGCCTTTATAGAAGAGTGGCCAGATATCCATAAAAAGTCTCGTTTAAAGTTTGCCACAAGCCACCTGGGAGACACACCAAACATGTGGAAGAAGGTGCTCTGGTCAGATGAAACCAAAATTGAACTTTTTGGCCACAATGCAAAACGATATGTTTGGCGTAAAAGCAACACAGCTCATCACCCTGAACACACCATCCCCACTGTCAAACATGGTGGTGGCAGCATCATGGTTTGGGCCTGCTTTTCTTCAGCAGGGACGGGGAAGATGGCTAAAATTGATGGGAAGATGGATGGAGCCAAATACAGGACCATTTTGGAAGAAAACCTGTTGGAGTCGGCAAAAGACCTGAGACTGGGACGGAGATTTCTTCCAACAGGACAATGATCCAAAACATAAAGCCAAATCTACAATGGAATGGTTCACAAATAGACGTATCCAGGTGTTAGAATGGCCAAGTCAAAGTCCAGACCTGAATCCAATCGAGAATCTGTGGAAAGAGCTGAAGACTGCTGTTCACAAACGCTCTCCATCCAACCTCACTGAGCTCCAGCTGTTTTGCTAGGAAGAATGGGGAAGAATTCCAGTCTCTCGATGTGCAAAACTGATAGAGACATACCCCAAGCGACCTGCAGCTGTAATTGCAGCAAAAGGTGGCGCTACAAAGTATTAGCGCAAGGGGGCCGAATAATATTGCAAGCCCCACTTTTCAGTTTTTTATTTGTTACACTGCAAAAAGTCATCTTTAAAAAATAAGAAAAAAGTAATATATTGAGCAATATATTAGAATGAGCAAAATTATTTGCCAATAGAACAGGAAGATTTGACTTGACAAGATTTTAAAAAACAAGTGAATTTATCTAGCCCGAAAAACCCAGGGATTTCTTAAAACAAGTATATTTAGACTAAAAACAAGTAGATTTGGCTTATTTTAAGAAAAATATTTCAGCATTATTTGCTCAATATGTTGGACTATGTGCTTAAAATCAGCATATGCTAGTGCCATCATCTTCAAATAAGGTTTAATGTAAGTAAATATACCTTAAAATCAGTAAAGCCACACTTAAAACAAGTACATTTGTCTAGACAAGTAAACCAAATTCAAGAATAATTTCCTTGATATATGGGAAAATAGGCTTATATTCGGATATTATCAGGGTCTGTTAGGTAACATGCACTGATAACTATTATATTTGCCTTGATAATACAAGCAATTTAAGATTTATTTATTCTAGTAAACAATCACTCAATTTAGTAAACAATGCCACTGTAAACCACCTGAAAAAAATTTATCAGACTGGGTACTATGAAAATAACATTCATGCATTTCTTAACAATGTCTTTATTGCTTTTCATCAACATTTTCTCTAAAGTAGAAAGAGTAAAATCCAGAATTTATACTATTACAGTAAAAATCTGTTGAGTTTTCATATAGTTCTCTGTTTTGTTACAGACTACTATTGGTACGAAAACCCCCAAAAACATTTGGTTTTACCAAGAGTTACTACAACCAGCAGATAGCAGACAGGCAACTACAGCTCTTCACTCTGGGGGCAGAGTGTAGCACTATAGCTACCTGTTTCCGGTAACTGCTGTCTGAACTAAAGCTAGGTAAAACCAAATAGTTTTTTTCCTTTACTGACTGTACTGTGACTGGAAATGGTAATCTATGTAAAAACTCGTCAGATTACTTTGTTAACGCACTCAAACACAGCGCAACTATAAGAGCCACCTAAAAACGACATTTAAGGCAAAAGAAAAAAAGAAAACCAAAATACATTACGCTGGCATCAATATCCTCTTTTGGGAAAGTCAACACAGGCATGGACCTAATAGCCAGTATGCAGTTGGTTTAACAGACAACTACGACCGGGCTGGAGAGTGTTCTTGCTTGTAGAAAGGTGTTGGGGTCGTCTGAAGGCTGACACACACAAAAAGAAAAATATCTTTATTAATGAATGGTTAAATTATTTAAAAATCCATATGGCTTTATGTTTTCTTACCTCAAGGATGTGAAGCAAAGCCTCACTTGCATTTCCCAACCTCTTGGGTGGAGCCACAGGTGATGGGAATAAGTTTGGCAACGCCTTCACCAGGGCGATTAACTGCTTTGCTGTTTAAAAAAAAAGTTGGTTTTCCTGCAGTGAGTAATTAAACAAACATTTCTGTTATCTTATGTATAATATATCATATATTATCCCAATTTGTTATATTCTGTATTAACCTTTGCCCAACAGTGGAGGCCTCATGATTTTCTTGAAAACTCGATAAAACTGTGCTCTCTATAAAATATATACATTTGCTTACATGGTCCAAAACTCCAAAGCAGGGATACGCCTCAAGGATTTTGACAAGCCTGTCCTGTTCCTTTGTCACGTGGTCAAGGTTAAGGAGCTGGGCAACATCCTTCTTGTTTGGCCTGGCCTTGATTTTATAATGTCTTGCCTGATTCTGTAGACTGTCTGAAGATTCTGGTGCTAGAAAACAAACATCAAAATAATTAAACATAGCAACAATAAACGTTGAGAACTGAACTTCCAGGTTAACTGGGCCAATAAAGGACAACCAAAATTCTCTGCATGTTCTGGACAATTTGTTGGCATTTTTCTGAAAATTAGATACAATCTCACATTTGACCATAAAACTGTCTGTGTGGCACCCTCTCTACAATTTTGGTGACACTACATTTGAAATTGGGGAATGTAGAGTACAGTGTGAGCCCGTCTCTCTGTGCCTGTGGCATATATTATGGACAAATGAACAAACAAATGCATCTTACAAATATAGTTGGTGGGGTCTGCATCATTACAATGATGCCAGCACAGCCACTTCACCTTGACAAATTAAAATAAATGTCATAATCGTGCTAATGTCAGCAAAATAAATTCAGTAGTTCGCTGCCAGTTTAGAAATGGCGCCTATGAAAGGGCGCCAGAGCTCTAAAAGGGCGCCAGAGCTCTAAGCTAACGCTAACGTTAGCTCTAAGCTAAACAGATGTCCATAATCCAAAAGGCCCTTGGGAAAGAACCCACGACAGTGGTGATCTTTCTGGCCAACACGAAGGCCTTTTTCGAGTACTTGATAAAGTTCGGCCAGAAGGGCAGCCGCATCTCCAGCCAGCGCGTCAGGATCCTCCACCACGAAGTGGCCAAACTGGCCCGGGATTTCAGCCGGCGTGTGACAGCGCACCAGCAGGCCGTCAAGGCCAAAAAGCTGGACCGGCTGATTTCCCGGGAGGACCTGACGCGCTGCATTGAGGCGTGCAGGGATGTCATCCCCACCCTCCTGGGTAATATCCTTCTTCAAAATGTGTTAACCTGACATTTTGAGTGGGTTGTAATTTATGTGTGTCTCTTCAGATGAGGTTGAGGCTGCGCCCATCGAGGACTGTTTGAGCCGCTTCCGTTTCTTCGGGCACCTGGCGGCCTACCTGGCCTCCATTTATGGCCACAGGTCGTGTGTTTACACGAACCTGCTGGCCAGGGAGGTCAGGGAGGCCAAGGGTGATGAAAACGCTGGCTACCTCGTCAATGTAAGTGCAATTCCCATCTAGAAGTGAACGCCCATTACAGAAACACCAAATGGTATACACTTTCCTTTTTGTGCAGGTGAGCAATCACAAGACCACGCATAAATATGGCATGGCCCAGATATACCTCACCCCAGAGGAATATGGTTGGTGCACCCGGTGGCTGGGCCTGCTCAACCGGGGGGTGCCGTCCAACCGCTTCTTTTTTTCGAACAACGGCAAGGGGGTCATGAAAGACCTTAAAAGGTACATGATCCGGGCGTGGCAGGAGATCGGGCTCAAGGGTGAGCCCGATTTCCTTGACATCCGGACGGCGGTGTCAACCTTCGTAAGTTGAAATGAAAGATGTACCTATTGTTAACATGTAGGTTTCTCGCTTATATTTCCGTTTTGTTTTCTCCAGAACTTATTTATTATACAGCTCCTCACAGCAGCAGTAGAACACTCCATTGACTTGAATGCAATTCTTCCGATCATTTTTTCTTGATAACAGAACTCTCAAACCAATAATGACCGCAGCCCCAACGCAATCTCTGTTTGTAATTCAGGTGTGTAAAATACTGCCATTACTTTGCAAGTACAAAACGCTATCAGCGCCTGTCACTACATTGTGCAGTTTTCTGCACACTTGTCTGTGTAGAGAAGCTAGCTGAGCTAGCCACGCTCAATAAACAAATACATATCAATCAATCAACACCATTAAACGTCAATCGGACAATACAGTATACATATACATCCTTAACACACATGCACGGACGATTTCAGAATTTGCTGTCAACGTTTTCATGACAAAAATACTGTTTTAAAGTGACAAAAAGCGATCGCGAAAAACCCGGAAGTTACCATGAAACAGCTAGCTAGCTTAGCTGTTACCTGCCTAGCACGTCCCGGTGAAACCTTTGGGAGCTAACTATTTTATTTGCAGTCATTAAATACATTTCTAATTATAAGGGTTGTCTAATATTTGTTCAAATGTGTATATATTTTTTATTTTAGAATTTTATTCGAATTTTGAAGTCGAAGCCCTGGTGTTAAGCAGCGCTGTAGAGGCTAGAGGACACAGGCTGTAGAGACTAGAGGACACAGGCTGTAGAGACTAGAGGACGCAGGCTGTAGAGACTAGAGGACACAGGCTGTAGAGACTAGAGGACACAGGCTGTAGAGACTAGAGGACACAGGCTGTAGAGACTAGAGGACACAGGCTGTAGAGACTAGAGGACACAGGCTGTAGAGACTAGAGGACGCAGGCTGTAGAGACTAGAGGACACAGGCTGTAGAGACTAGAGGACACAGGCTGTAGAGACTAGAGGACACAGGCTGTAGAGACTAGAGGACACAGGCTGTAGAGACTAGAGGACACAGGCTGTAGAGGCTAGAGGACACAGGCTGTAGAGGCTAGAGGACACAGGCTGTAGAGGCTAGAGGACACAGGCTGTAGAGGCTAGAGGACACAGGCTGTAGAGACTAGAGGACGCAGGCTGTAGAGACTAGAGGACGCAGGCTGTAGAGGCTAGAGGACACAGGCTGTAGAGACTAGAGGACACAGGCTGTAGAGACTAGAGGACACAGGCTGTAGAGACTAGAGGACACAGGCTGTAGAGACTAGAGGACGCAGGCTGTAGAGACTAGAGGACACAGGCTGTAGAGACTAGAGGACGCAGGCTGTAGAGGCTAGAGGACACAGGCTGTAGAGGCTAGAGGACACAGGCTGTAGAGACTAGAGGACACAGGCTGTAGAGACTAGAGGACGCAGGCTGTAGAGACTAGAGGACACAGGCTGTAGAGACTAGAGGACGCAGGCTGTAGAGACTAGAGGACGCAGGCTGTAGAGACTAGAGGACACAGGCTGTAGAGACTAGAGGACGCAGGCTGTAGAGACTAGAGGACGCAGGCTGTAGAGACTAGAGGACACAGGCTGTAGAGACTAGAGGACACAGGCTGTAGAGACTAGAGGACACAGGCTGTAGAGACTAGAGGACACAGGCTGTAGAGACTAGAGGACGCAGGCTGTAGAGACTAGAGGACACAGGCTGTAGAGACTAGAGGACGCAGGCTGTAGAGACTAGAGGACACAGGCTGTAGAGGCTAGAGGACACAGGCTGTAGAGACTAGAGGACACAGGCTGTAGAGACTAGAGGACACAGGCTGTAGAGGCTAGAGGACGCAGGCTGTAGAGGCTAGAGGACACAGGCTGTAGAGACTAGAGGACACAGGCTGTAGAGACTAGAGGACACAGGCTGTAGAGACTAGAGGACACAGGCTGTAGAGGCTAGAGGACACAGGCTGTAGAGACTAGAGGACACAGGCTGTAGAGACTAGAGGACACAAGCTGTAGAGACTAGAGGACACAGGCTGTAGAGGCTAGAGGACGCAGGCTGTAGAGGCTAGAGGACACAGGCTGTAGAGACTAGAGGACACAGACTGTAGAGGCTAGAGGACGCAGGCTGTAGAGACTAGAGGACACAGGCTGTAGAGGCTAGAGGACGCAGGCTGTAGAGACTAGAGGACACAGGCTGTAGACACTAGAGGACACAGGCTGTAGAGACTAGAGGACACAGACTGTAGAGACTAGAGGACACAGGCTGTAGAGACTAGAGGACGCAGGCTGTAGAGGCTAGAGGACACAGGCTGTAGAGACTAGAGGACACAGGCTGTAGAGACTAGAGGACACAGGCTGTAGAGACTAGAGGACACAGGCTGTAGAGACTAGAGGACACAGGCTGTAGAGACTAGAGGACACAGGCTGTAGAGACTAGAGGACACAGGCTGTAGAGACTAGAGGACGCAGGCTGTAGAGACTAGAGGACACAGGCTGTAGAGACTAGAGGACACAGGCTGTAGAGACTAGAGGACACAGGCTGTAGAGGCTAGAGGACACAGGCTGTAGAGACTAGAGGACACAGGCTGTAGAGACTAGAGGACACAGGCTGTAGAGACTAGAGGACACAGACTGTAGAGACTAGAGGACACAGGCTGTAGAGACTAGAGGACGCAGGCTGTAGAGACTAGAGGACACAGGCTGTAGAGACTAGAGGACACAGGCTGTAGAGACTAGAGGACACAGGCTGTAGAGACTAGAGGACACAGGCTGTAGAGACTAGAGGACACAGGCTGTAGAGACTAGAGGACACAGGCTGTAGACACTAGAGGACACAGGCTGTAGACACTAGAGGACACAGGCTGTAGAGACTAGAGGACACAGGCTGTAGAGACTAGAGGACACAGGCTGTAGAGACTAGAGGACGCAGGCTGTAGAGACTAGAGGACACAGGCTGTAGAGACTAGAGGACACAGGCTGTAGAGACTAGAGGACACAGGCTGTAGAGACTAGAGGACACAGGCTGTAGAGACTAGAGGACACAGGCTGTAGAGACTAGAGGACACAGGCTGTAGAGACTAGAGGACACAGGCTGTAGAGACTAGAGGACACAGGCTGTAGAGGCTAGAGGACACAGGCTGTAGAGACTAGAGGACACAGGCTGTAGAGACTAGAGGACACAGGCTGTAGAGACTAGAGGACACAGGCTGTAGAAACTAGAGGACACAGGCTGTAGAGACTAGAGGACACAGGCTGTAGACACTAGAGGACACAGGCTGTAGACACTAGAGGACGCAGGCTGTAGAGACTAGAGGACGCAGGCTGTAGAGACTAGAGGACGCAGGCTGTAGAGACTAGAGGACACAGGCTGTAGAGACTAGAGGACACAGGCTGTAGACACTAGAGGACACAGGCTGTAGACACTAGAGGACACAGGCTGTAGAGACTAGAGGACACAGGCTGTAGAGACTAGAGGACACAGGCTGTAGAGACTAGAGGACACAGGCTGTAGAGGCTAGAGGACACAGGCTGTAGAGACTAGAGGACACAGGCTGTAGAGACTAGAGGACACAGGCTGTAGAGACTAGAGGACACAGGCTGTAGAGACTAGAGGACACAGGCTGTAGAGACTAGAGGACACAGGCTGTAGAGACTAGAGGACACAGGCTGTAGAGACTAGAGGACACAGGCTGTAGAGACTAGAGGACACAGGCTGTAGAGACTAGAGGACACAGGCTGTAGAGACTAGAGGACACAGGCTGTAGAGACAAGAGGACGCAGGCTGTAGAGACTAGAGGACACAGGCTGTAGAGACTAGAGGACACAGGCTGTAGAGACTAGAGGACACAGGCTGTAGAGACTAGAGGACACAGGCTGTAGAGACTAGAGGACACAGGCTGTAGAGACTAGAGGACACAGGCTGTAGAGACTAGAGGACACAGGCTGTAGAGGCTAGAGGACACAGGCTGTAGAGACTAGAGGACACAGGCTGTAGAGACTAGAGGACACAGGCTGTAGAGACTAGAGGACACAGGCTGTAGAGACTAGAGGACACAGGCTGTAGAGACTAGAGGACACAGGCTGTAGAGACTAGAGGACACAGGCTGTAGAGACTAGAGGACACAGGCTGTAGAGACTAGAGGACACAGGCTGTAGAGGCTAGAGGACACAGGCTGTAGAGACTAGAGGACACAGGCTGTAGAGACTAGAGGACACAGGCTATAGAGACTAGAGGACACAGGCTGTAGAGACTAGAGGACACAGGCTGTAGAGACTAGAGGACACAGGCTGTAGAGGCTAGAGGACACAGGCTGTAGAGACTAGAGGACACAGGCTGTAGAGACTAGAGGACACAGGCTGTAGAGACTAGAGGACACAGGCTGTAGAGACTAGAGGACACAGGCTGTAGAGACTAGAGGACACAGGCTGTAGAGACTAGAGGACACAGGCTGTAGAGACTAGAGGACACAGGCTGTAGAGACTAGAGGACACAGGCTGTAGAGACTAGAGGACACAGGCTGTAGAGACTAGAGGACACAGGCTGTAGAGACTAGAGGACACAGGCTGTAGAGACTAGAGGACACAGACTGTAGAGACTAGAGGACACAGGCTGTAGAGACTAGAGGACACAGGCTGTAGAGACTAGAGGACACAGGCTGTAGAGACTAGAGGACACAGGCTGTAGAGACTAGAGGACACAGGCTGTAGAGACTAGAGGACACAGGCTGTTCACTGCTCGTTCTGTGAGAACGAGCCCCGCTCAGACTCTACTCAGCACTTTTCACTGCCTGAATTTCATACACAGTGGAATCAATGACCTCAAGTTTTCAATTAAATTATGTATTATGATACAACTTGTATGTAGTAAAAAGCATTTTTATGAACTACTTAGAAAAAAAATCGGGTATAGCTTCTTAAATGAATTCAAATACAGTTTTAAAGTTAGCACTCTTGTTTACATGCTGTGTGCAGCTGCCGACAGGGAGAGAATGGTGACTAAACTAAGGAGTTATAACAAC